TGTTTTTGTTTTTTGCTGTGCTGGCAGTTGAACCCGGAGCCTCACTCATGCTGGGCAAGTGCTCTACCACTGAGCTACATCCTCATTCCCAACTAAAGCTTTTTAAAAAGTATATGGAGGAGCAGGGCGTGGTGGAGCACACCTGTAATCCCAACACTCAGGAGGCTGAGGCAGGAGGATCGCTGTGAGTTCAAGACCAGCCTGGGCTACATTGTGAGTTCCAGGTCAGTCTCAACTACATACTGAGACTCTCTCTCCAAAAAAAAAAGTATACTGAGGGCTGGGGATTTAGCTCAGTAGCACTGCACCTGCCTTGCAAGTGCAAGGTCCTGAGTTGGATCCCTGGGACTGCAAACAATAAGTGAACAAATAAATAAAAAAATAACATGAAATAGAATCCAACTTGGGCCAGGGATTTAGCTCAGTGGTTCCACCACCTGCCTCACAGGTGCAAGGTCCTGAGTTCAATCCCCGATACCAAAAAAATTTAAATTAAAAAATAAAATTATACTGAGCCAGGCCGGGGATTTAGCTCAGGGGCACTGTGCCTGCCTTTGCAAGCACAAGATCCTGAGTTTGATCTCCGCTACATAACAAAAATTATACCGAGCAGGACATGGTGGGGCACACCTGTAATCCCAGTACTCTGAGAGGCTGAGGCAAGAGGATCACAAGTTCAAGCCCAGCCTGGGCAACTTACTAATTTTGTGAGACCCTGTCTGAAAAGAAAAAGGGCTGAGGATATAGCTCAGTGTGAAGGCCCTGGGTTCTGCCCAGTACTGGGGGAAATCTATACAGAATACTGAATCAGCGTAAGCACTCCACAGGAGGGGCTTAGTTCAGTGCTGCCCCTCCATGCCTTGGCCATAGTGAGCAGCTGTGCATGAACTGATCGGCTCGTCAGCCCGTCAGAGGCCCGTGCTCAGAGCTCCATGGTCTCCCCTTTCCCTGGGACCCGTTTTACAGGGGAGCGCACTGAGGATCAGGAAAGTTGATAGATTTGCCAAGGTCAAATTCGAAAGACTGAAACAGTGTGAAGGGCAGGCTGTGCTCCCCTCAGGGTGGGACAGGCCGTGCTCCCCCTGCATCCACAGCTCACTTTCCTTTCAGTCAAGAGGGGACACTTCACACAGTGACAACTCGGCCGGCCTTGGAAGCTGTCGCAAGGGCAGCACCTGGGAGAGGGACTGAGGCTTCACAGGCCTCCTGCCTGTGAGGCACACAACCAGCTGAGCTTACTGATGTGCGCTTACTCGGTGCCCTGTGGCTTTTCTGGCCACCAGGACCTGCAGCCACTCCACCAGCCTGGTCCCCAGAAGTCAGCCCAGGAAGGTGGCTTAGATCGAATTCCGATTAGGAGGGAAGTTGGCTTTAGGTGTGAATTCACACACACACACGCACACGCACACGCACGCCCCTCACTGAGTGGAGAGTCTGGTAGGTCAGGCATGGTGGTACCCACCTGTAATCCGGCACCCTGGGAGGCTGGAGGACTGCAAGCCTGAGCCCAGCCTGGGCAACTCAATGAGGTCCTGTCTCAAAATACACACGGAAGCTGGGGATGTAGCTCTTTGCAGAAGCCCTGGGCTGTCCCTAAAACGGAGAGGGGCACGGTCTGAAGATTCATGACGGATCTGAGCGCTAAGACGAGATGCTTTGCCATGGGTACAGGACTCCTCTGACTCACACCTGGATGTTCACTGCCAACACTGGAGCACACGGAGCCTGCGGTACAGAACAGCCTGTGGGCCAGCTGGTGCCAGCCTGTGATGGCTGAGCTCGGCTCATCTATAAAGCAGGACTGGAACCACGCTGCTGGCATCAGGTGAATGCAGGCTCCATCCCTATGTGGACTTATTCAGGCCTGGCATCTGCTAAGTACATGAAGCGGCCACCATATAATAACAGCTAATTACTGACTAATCTTCCTCCCGTTTCACCAATTAACCCAAGGCTATGAGGCCAGCCGGAAGCCTTCCAGCAAACTAGGGGATGGGCTGGGAGCCCTGTCTTCTGACACCCTGCCATATCCCCAGGCTTCTGGTTGCTCAGCCCTTCCAAGACCAAGTGACAGCATCACAAAGTCCCTGAACCATACTGATGAGTTCAAAAGGCCCCGAGTCTACTGCACACCAGTGCGGCTGGGCTGGGCTGGGAGTGTGGTGAGCCTGCACGGCCACAACTCAGAGAGCCTCTGCGGAACGGGGAAAGTAAGCCGGTGACACATCTGTCACTTCTAGGACGTGCTTTTCGGCAGTGCCGGGGACGCCTGCATACCCTGGGCACTCCTCTGCCTGCAACCTGCGTCCGCGGCAGACCAGTGTGCACAGCTTGGGGCTCGGCAGCGGGCAGGGCTGGGTGACCTTGGCCTGATGACTCCATCCTGCGCCCTCCACTCATCTGTAAAACACACGGGAGGCCCCCGAGCTGTCCGGAGAACCACAGCTCAGCGCCTTGCTCACTGCAGTTGGTGAAGCTGGATCCCTGCAGCCTGAGTGGGTGCTGGGGAACTCATTTAGTAGTAGGGTCCCCAGGGCGCCGGCAGTTTTCCCGGGAGCAGCCTGAGCCGACAGCGCTTTCCCTGAAGTGCACCGCCAGGAGAGGAGTGTTCCTGGCCCAGTGCCGCTGCTCAGCTCAGGGTTTTACCGAGAATGACAAGCTACTCCCTCCTTAAGCCAGCCATCTCGAGTTGGGCGCAAAAATACTAGAACTTCTATTTATAGTTAACTCATGTAATTGCTTTTGAATCTGTCTGGATTATAGGACTTGGGGGTAATTTATGAACACACGATAACGTGACGGGTTCAGACAGCAAAGGTCAAAGGCAGTCAGGCTGCAAAGCAGGCGGATACCTGGGCTCCGGGCAGCGAACTGCAGGCGCCGCGGTGGTGTCGGCCAGCAGAGGGGAGAGGGGCCCCCGTAAACTGCAAACCAGACCCCTTGTCGCTTGCAGGGACGCAGGCCCTGCCCCCCAGCACACGCGCACCCCGGCTCCTTCCAACCACTTCGCCTCCCTCCACAGAGGCAACACCATCTGAACAAAGACAGGCAGCAGCGAAAGGTTGAAAACAAAAATAAAGCGGACTTTATTTAGAAGATAAAGAGGTGGTATCAGTTTTGGTTAATAAAGACGGGCTCAAGTGTTTTAACAGGTCTTTAATGCCATCACAGCCGGGCATGCCAAAGGCATTCTGAATGCCCATTACAGATGGAAGATGTTTCCAAAACCAAGATGCTATCCAAAGCTGACGGAGTTTGGATTTCTCTTAAAGTCGGACTGACACGCGCTTCTTAAATAGGAAGAGTAAATAGACTGCTTGGCTCTGAAAGTTAAAACACTACACTGAGCAATTCCCCTCCCTTTTTCCACAAGTCCCTAGGGCAATATTATAGTCGCCTCTGACAGCGAAAATGCCAACATTTCAACAGAGAGGGGCTGAGGGGAGCCGGGGAGAACGAAGAGCAAAATTAATAAGGTAATTGTCTATGCAGCTGCCATGCGAGGCAGACCGAAGTCTAGTCCGATGCCCGGCATCTTCACATTTGCACCGACATCTTCCCAAGCAGGCGGTAGGGACATTCTTGAAGGAATGTGCCGAGACTGGGGTGGAGGGCCCGGCTGCGGACAGGAAGCGCTGTGCATCCAGTCGCCGTGTGGGTGCCGGGCTAAGGACAAACACAGGGACTGCACTGCGGCGAGAGCCCGCCAGCCGAGGGAGTGAGGAAAGGACAGAATGCACTACCAGTGCAGATGGCTACAAGGCACCTAGACCACAATCCAACCGACCAGCTCCTCTCCAGCAGGGAGGGAGCCAGGAGAAAGCATAACAACAGCACTCATCCACGGCTCCCTGGAACCAAACACCACAAAACAGGCGCGCAAGGTTTTGTTTTCCTACGGTTCTCAGTGTTCTTTATCCTCCTGCTGCTGTCTAGCTAGGCAGCCCACACAGGACAGAAATGGGTAGCACTGAGGAATGATCAGATCATCTCTTTCCCCAATATTCCTACCCCCTCCCTAAGCCCTGATCCAACCCTATCTACTCTCAGGAATGGTTAGTTTATCGCCAGAGAACCAGGCCTCTGCAGTAGGGCTTAGGAGTTGGTGTTCCTGGTCACAATGGAGCGGCTCTCCTTCAAACAAACACCTGGATTTTTT